CGGCGTATCCGTCTGGACGCGAGGCCGATACGATAAAGTATTTATCCGGATTCGAGAAATGTATTCGTGAGAACGGGCCCTATCTTCCTGAGGGGTATCGCACAAAACCAGGATAAGGGATTAACCCGGGATATGTTGGTTATCCTGGCTCAATTTAGCCTCAAGTCGGTTGCATGAAAGCAGGTTAAAGTTATCCCGGCCAAGTTACTATGGTGATTTATTCTCTGCAGTTAGCCTGCTCCAGACCAGGCTAACAGCCGGGCTAACAGCCGGGCTAACAGCCGGGCTAACAACAGAATCTTGACTGGTCATCAAGGCACTGCTGCCATCTTGTAGAAGTGAGAATGAGTCAGTCAGGAACCTTGTGGCAGCAATACTGATCAATGAGGACATTATTAACTCATTGGTAAGTGCTTGTACGGGCCAAAATCCTTCCCATAGTACCCGTGCCCAACCCCTTCCCCCTCGGGAGAAGGTCCCCCCCTTTTAATGGTGGCACCGACTACAACAGGCCTTCTAAATCCTGACAGAAAAAGAAAAGTTTCCAGTTTAAGAAGTTTGTAATTTTCAACTGATGCCCTTTTTAAAAGCAGCTAATTCAGAAGGCTATCACTTTGATGAAAAGGATACAACTAGGTTTTGATTTCATTCAGTATTCCACATTTTTATCAGTACAGGCCTCAGGCTAAATCCATGACAGCCAAAATTCAAGTCATAAATCAAAGATTCATTCCAGTTATTCAAAGATTCATTCCATATATTCAAGTATTCTATATATATTCAACATGATGCCATTTTGTAAAACCAGCATAATTTCAAAGATTCATTCTATCACTTTAAAGATGAATTCCATATATTCAAAGATACAATCTAGGTTTTAAGATTCATTCCATATATTCAAGATTCATTCCATATATTCAAAGATTCATTCCATATATTCAAGATTCATTCCATATATTCAAAGATTCATTCTATATATTCAAAGATTCATTCCATATATTCAAAGATTCATTCCATATATCCAAGATTCATTCCATATATAAAAACATATATTCAAAGATTCATTCCATATATTCAAGATTCATTCCATATATTCAAAGATTCATTCTATATATTCAAAGATTCATTCCATATATCCAAGATTCATTCCATATATTCAAAGATTCATTCTATATATTCAAAGATTCATTCCATATATCCAAGATTCATTCCATATATTCAAGATTCATTCCATATATTCAAAGATTCATTCCATATATTCAAAGATTCATTCCATATATTCAAAGATTCATTCCATATATCCAAGATTCATTCCATATATTCAAAGATTCATTCCATATATTCAAAGATTCATTCCATATATTCAAAGATTCATTCCATATATTCAAAGATTCATTCCATATATTCAAAGATTCATTCCATATATTCAAGATTCATTCCATATATTCAAAGATTCATTCTATATATTCAAAGATTCATTCCATATATTCAAAGATTCATTCCATATATTCAAGATTCATTCCATATATTCAAAGATTCATTCTATATATTCAAAGATTCATTCCATATATCCAAGATTCATTCCATATATTCTAGATTCATTCCATATATTCAAAGATTCATTCCATATATCCAAGATTCATTCCATATATTCAAGATTCATTCCATATATTCAAAGATTCATTCCATATATTCAAAGATTCATTCCATATATTCAAGATTCATTCCATATATTCAAGATTCATTCTTTTTTTTTAATTTCATTCCATATATTCAAGATCATCCATATATTCAAAGATTCATTCCATATATTCAAGATTCATTCCATATATTCAAAGATTCATTCTATATATTCAAAGATTCATTCCATATATTCAAAGATTCATTCCATATATTCAAAGATTCATTCCATATATTCAAGATTCATTCTATATATTCAAAGATTCATTCCATATATTCAAGATTCATTCCATATATTCAAAGATTCATTCTATATATTCAAAGATTCATTCCATATATTCAAAGATTCATTCCATATATTCAAGATTCATTCCATATATTCAAAGATTCATTCTATATATTCAAAGATTCATTCCATATATTCAAGATTCATTCCATATATTCAAAGATTCATTCCATATATTCAAAGATTCATTCCATATATCCAAGATTCATTCCATATATTCAAGATTCATTCCATATATTCTAGATTCATTCCATATATTCAAAGATTCATTCCATATATCCAAGATTCATTCCATATATTCAAGATTCATTCTATATATTCAAAGATTCATTCCATATATTCAAGATTCATTCCATATATTCTAAAGATTCATTCCATATATTCAAGATTCATTCCATATATTCAAAGATTCATTCCATATATTCAAAGATTCATTCCATATATTCAAAGATTCATTCCATATATTCAAAAAAAATTCATTCCAATATCAAGATTCATTCCATATATTCAAGTTTCATTCCATATATTCAAGAT